GGTGCTTTCCATTTCCTCCACATAGCACCACTGATCCATCAGCTGCATTGGTTACCAGTGAGCTTCCAGGTACAATTCAAGATGTTTGGTTGTAGAAGAATTTGGGCGAACATGCTTACATATCTACTGCTGTCAGCCTCATCCCTAATCAAGACAGGGCTTAAACTCAATTCTGATTAGCATAAAATCATTGTGTACTGTAGGAAGCAGACACTGAGTTCATTGCCCTGGTCACTGAGAGAATCTTCATTAAAACATCTCCAACGGATAGCTGTTTAGCTACTGACCACTGAAGCAGGAGCCACCACCTGCCTGAATACCTGGTCCCACTATCAAACTGTTCTTACTGTTGTGAAGTTGTTCCCCCCGCCCCCAAATATAGTGTTGAATCTGCCTTCTCATAACTTAAAACCATTATTCTGTGTTCATTACTCTGGAATGATAGAGAACATACCTTGACCTTATTTTATCCTTTATCCTTTCAGGTGTTCATAATGTTTCTACCACTTTCAAATGTTCACAGGCAAAGTACAAAGAGTTTATAAGTGAGTTTAATCTATTCCTGGTCATGGATAGGGCAGTTAAACAAATTCCTTTGAAATTTCATTCTGTATCTTCCAAACTAACATGCAAAACCTTTTGCAGCTGGTGCAGTGAGAATATCCATGGTTTTATCTTGCAGTTGAACTCTTGTGAATAACAAAGGCCACCAATGCAAGCCAACTGCTATATACTGTAGAGTTTTGCAAACTTTGGAAATGCCAATTGGAACTAGCGGTCTCAACCTCTTCCCCAACCCACTTTACAAAAACATGCTTCATTGGTAAGCAATCCTTAAGCCTCCTACTTCTCTATGTCAGCCTTACCCAGCCATTAGACAAAATAAAGCAATCTCCTTAGGCAATTAATATGTGGGAGGACTGTATCATTATTTTCAGATAAAAAGAGAGATGTTTGTGGAATTTATTTCCCCAAAGATTTAACTGGATGTGGCTACTACTTGCCAAAACCTGAGGGTGGAGCAGGTGGGATTACTCTCTACCTTAAGCCCTTCTTATACTACACACAAATTCCATGGATGGGAGGGGACCAGAGAAAGAAATAAATGTATACTTTGTGTATATGGAAAAGACCAGATCTTTTGTAGAATGAATAATAGAAATATGTTGAGTCAATCTAAATTCCAAACTATTTTTCATGGCATGGAATCTTGTAAGAGAATTAGAAGGTAAATTGTTTTGCAAATGTTAATAGTCACATTAGGTAACCAATTTATACTATGGAGAGTATATAAAGTTCCAACTTGCTGTCTTCCCTGAAATCTTCACCATTTTCTTCCCATCTTAAATATATTTACTATTCCTTTAAGTTTCTAATCCTTATTAATTAGTTCCATACATATATGCATCTATTATCTTTCATTAATTATATTTCATAAATATATTGTCCTTTCCTATATTAGTCTGAGCTTCATGTAGCTAATAAATGACTGGGACCCTTAGACTGCGATTTTGTTAAATGCCAAAAAGTAAACCAATACAAAATCATAAAAGTTGTCCAGTCAGTCAAATTGTTTAATTTCTGTTAGACTAACAGCAACAGTCTTGCCAAAGATTTGGTTTCTATAAATGATAGTCTCATTTGAACCACTTTAAAGATATAAGAATAATATAGAAGTGGCTTGGCATAGCCTTCTTTTGGGATTTTTTTTTTTTTTAATTTTTCAGCCTAGCTAACATCCCTTGAGATTTCTTGGTGATCTCTCATACTAATAAAAGTCCTGCTTAGCTATTATTGTCAGCTATGGTGCTACTCCTTTTTAACAATAAAGTCCTCATTTCTCAATTCCACTTAAAAAAAATGCAGCAGCAGAGGTAAAGAGCAGACGGGCAAATCACAGAAAAAGAGAGAAGAGCAGGCAATAGGAGCAGGCATGTTTGGAAGAAGTCATCCATGTCACCCAACTAGGCACAAAGCATCTCCCTCTAGCAACGTACAGTGGAGCACAAGAAACTAATGCAGGTGTGCCAGGTAGCATTATTTGCAATTATGCATAATGGCATACTATGATACCCTTAATTTTTTACTCACTAAACTCATTTGTATCAATGAATGCAAAGCTTCAGTATCGTAGCCCTTAGGCTAATGAACAAGGCTTATGGCATTTGTGATTAGTTTGTCTTAGACCCTAGTATAAGCAATCTAAGAACCACGGAAGAACTATGTCATTATTTCTACATTGTTTTTTTAAAGTTCTCACTTTTTTTTTCCTTACTATGGAAGTATTGTTAGGGTGTTCTATATGCATGTTACATATACTGTGTTTGTGCAAGGAAATACAAGCAATTTCTGCAATGTTCCTTTGCCTGTGCAATTAGTAAATCTGCGAAGGCAATGCTGAATTACTGTATAGGGAAAAGTTGCCTTTGCTCTGAAACCTTCATGTTAACAGCAGTATTTGTATGCTGAACAGAGAGGAGGACTGCACATGCAATCCAGAAGCATCTACACTGGCTCTTGCCTTTCTCTTCTTCAACATTTACTATCATGATCAGTACTCTGTTAATAAGTAATTATCTCTTTGCAAAGTATACTATGGAAGTTGCTGACAGGGGCAAGGAAAAAAAAGAGTCTCTCTCCTGACTTAGCTAGGATGCTTGCTTAATTTTGAAATTGATATGGTAAAGCAGTTATAAGGAATGGATTATAGATGTGTATTTGTGAGCTTTTTAGAACAAAAAAATAAAACTAAATATGAACCTTGAATTAGGGTAGCAGAGAAATACCATGTGACTTTGCATATTATAGATGCATTTACATTTGCAACAATTATCCATTCCCAGCCAAATTGCCAAAATCATTCATCAGAATTAGTCAAAGATTTTTCACAGCCAATATGAAACTAAGATCTTTACCTGGAATTACAACTAAGGAAATATTAATTTGAAAATTCAGAAATGGAAGAACTAAACAATTGTATAAAAACAGAGAAGGGGCGATAGTGACAAATTCATTGGCTAAACTGAGCTTTTGCCCTGAAGAACAGATATCTTAAATGCTTTTGCCACTGTAAAATTCATTACATTTTAATAGAAACTCTTGTAATTTCCTCTCCAAGACTTGGAAAATCAGAATGTTAAAGCTTACCGCAAAAAAAGGTGAGCCTGATTCCTTCTGAAAAGATAAAATTATATATAGAAGAACGGATTGTGTCCCTCATTCACAAATGTGTTCCAGGACCACATGAAAGTTTTCTTCTCCATAAGAACTTCCAGGCCTCACCCATCTCGGTCTCAGAGATTCCTGAGGGATCATTCAGGTTTGGGTGTTCTGTTGCAAGGTGGCTTTAGAGTCATCTCATTTGATCCCTGGGGACTACAGCAACACAAACAAAGCTTGGGGGAAAAGCATATCCCCTGCTCAAAACTAGGGGGATGCAAGAGATCCACCACAGATTTCCATGGGAACAAAATGACATACCTTATTGTAACAGCCTCCATGGAGACATAGGCTGCAAAGAAGAGAAGGTACCTATGACTGCCACTGACCACAAAATATGGTATATTTGGGCAAGATGTATTGAAAAAAGTGGGAAAGTTAGCTATCTATATGTCTGTGTCTATATATAGACTGCCTGTAAAATGGGCATATTAAGGTAGTACATATTTTTAAAGTATAATTTAGGAAGTGTTGTTCACAATACTTTGCATATTAGGGAAAATTGTGAATGGTAGCAAGCATGGATTTTTCATAAGGTTTTTTTTCCTTAAAAAAAGAATTAATCATGAAAACTGATAGAATGAAAACACGTTAATATAAGTAAAATATAATATATAACATAAATCCAGTTAATGTTAACCTTCACACCCCAACTCAGAATCTATTCAGACATGTTCCTGCATTCTCAACTAATGGAATGATATTGCTCCAATTACACTGAATATTGATTGAGAGGCAATTCATTTTCTAGGCCTCAGATTGGTTTAGAGAAATTATTTGAGAATCCTCTTCCCCTACCCCCTACCCATCCCCCATCCCAGATACCAGCTATTTTCCAAATGAATAGAATGGAAGCCATTAGAAATGATTAATTCCAGAGAGTAACAAATAGGCCTGTCACCTGATTTAAGAAATCTTATTCAGTTGGTTGGATTGCTTTTAATCAAGTATTTTACTAATCTTCTTCTCTTTCTCTGCACTTTAATACGATTACTCCTGAATTTTAGATGATATGTACCAGTTACAGTACACATCATATCAGGAGAAACATTCTCAGCAGTACAATAGAAAGGGTTATATATGTGTGTATGTGTGTGTGTGTGTGTGTGTGTGTAGTATACGCACAATATCTATGTTAATAAAAATAGTGTGCATACCATCTATAGAGAGTGGCCTATTCTCATATAGCCAGGTAGAATATATACTTTTAACACAGTAAGTGCTGCCAAGATCTCATAAAATTAATCAAGAACATTGTTTTAATTTATCCAACTGTACAATTATTTAATTAACCATTAAAGCCAACTATCCTAGCATAATTATTCCTGTTAGATTGACCTCATTCCAAACACTGTTTATATAGAAGATCTTGATGGATTTTAACAATTAACAACAACAAGAAAGCAAAACTTGTATGCTTGAGGCTTTTATTTTATTTATTTTTTGGTGCAATAAGTGCCTAAAGGCAAGCAGCTCAAACCTATTATGACACACTCTTGCTTATAATTTTCAATCAGTCACTATATTGTTCGAGGAGGCTGAGTGACAGCATAAGCACTATGTAAGTGCTGTATTGTATTCTTCTGTTTTGTTCAGGACAGGAATGAGAGCATAAAGCATTCAACTTGAGGTACTGATTTAGCAATGCAGGAAACATGCTGTGTTCAGAGAGGTGGTTGCCAGCGCTCCATTTATCTGTTAAGTGGCAATGATTCCCACAGATTTACAATAGACACATGCAAGAAAACGCAAAGCCACCTTAGTATAATTGCAGTCCTTACTTGGAGGCAGATCCATCACTTTGGGAATGTGGAAACATTCACGAAGGTGTTTTAGCTCGTCTTCTTCATCTAAGCGAAGAGCAACTTTCTTATCTACTGGACTGCATGCTAGTTGTAAAGCAATTGTTTCTATAATGCTTGCTGGTGAACCATGAGAAGACAGATCCATTTTCGAGGAACTCATTTCTCATTCTAAAGGGGAGAGAGAGAGAAAAATATATATATATATATATCTCCATTTAGATACTATGCCATGCATATGAGCTACTGTCTGATGGGAAGATTATAGTTATGTATGAGCAGCCATCTACAAGCTTTTAAAAATGAAATGCTTGGCAGTGTGAGAGAAAAGTGAGAAATTCTCAGTTCCAGCATTTTTCAAGGCAGCAGACTGCTGTAGCCCTGAAGCTATTAGTTTTAAATATAATCTTTTCCCCATAAAGCTATATCAGCAACTTCTCTGTTCTACCACTGCTTCAACAGCAGTAACAAATTCTATAGTGTCATTCACACTCGCAGATCTGAAAGCTGCCGGCAGCATGATTGCTTCCACAATCTGTGCTCCTGAAAATAGCAGGTGTATCACCACATTTAAACTGACGTTTTCAAGCCTCAGCCTTCTTTATGCTCCTTGGCATCTTAATTCACAGAAACTAACTAAGAATATAGAAATTTATAGATTAGAAGGAATAACTAGAAATGGGCAATCTCAGGCTTCCACAACCAACTCTAAGAGAAGCTTCACTTTTCAGATCCGGTGCATCGCAGGCCTCAGCAGACCTCAATGCTCCTTCACAAAACAGGAGAATGGCAAACCTAAGCAGTGGTTTATGACATTTCTTCTCCACAATGGAAAGGACATCTATGGAACCAACTAGGATCAACTTTAGCATTAATAAAAATTGCCTGTCTTCCCCCCACCATATGCCTCTGGCAACAATAGCTGAAAATTGTTGAGATAGTTTCATTTCATTGTGAGGCAAGAAATATCTGAAAATTGTTGAGTAGGCTTAACATATTTTAAAAAAAAAAGCAAAAACACATACACAGATACACATAAACATTCCTCCCAAACCAAGAAGAAAAAGAATCCATCTATTTGAGTGTTATGACTCTATTCACTTTGCCTCATTGCCCTGCTCACTTCACTGCTTGTCTTCCAAAATACATTCAGTGTGGTCCAAAGCCAGTACAAAGCCCTATATTAAGCTAGCTTTTGCTCAACTACTGTACTTGTTAATCTACGACAGGAAGCAGCAGCCCAATGCAAACAATAGTGGTAGTATCATGTTTAAGGTGTTGGACAAGGACTATAAAACCCAACACTGAAGTCTACCCTCAGCCACAGAAAGTCAGCCGCTGATTTTGGGCCAAACAATCAGCTCAGCATTTTTCCGAAGACTGTTATGGGGGGAGGGGGAAGGGAGGGAGGGAGGATATCCCCGAGTATGAAGAACTGAGCTCCTGGGGGGGAAAAAAAGAAAAAAAAAACAGAATATAAATCTAACAAATACATAAATAATACTTCTTGGGTGTGAAATATTACAATCATGAATTGTTCTTCCAGCAATTTATTTACTGTTTCAACATGTAGACTCTCTCAAGGCCAGGGACATTGACAAGGTTTCCTGCATTTCCTCTCCATCTCTCTAATCTTTTGATTCACTTTGCCCTTAATCACCCAAAATTCCAGCAACTGGGGGATTTTAAATGGAGCAAAATATTATGCCTTCATGGCACATTCAGCACCTTAGTTCTCATGCTTTCTGCTCACAAGAAAAGTCAAGCAAAATCTACATATGTATCTGAAATCTACTGTTAACTATAACCATAGCAACAATGATAGATATCAAATTTGAGATCTTGCCAAAATGCCTGATAAATGAGAAAAGTGACAGCATAATGGATTTCTATTTTTTGTTAATTATATACAAGTAATGAAGTAGTAGGCAGCTAATCAGTGTTTTATTTGTGATTGTAGCTGAGTGGCCAGTGACATTTCTCATAAACTTTAAAAAAGTATTCATTTCTTTACATTCAGCCTACAAACCACTGAGTATTAATTACATCAAGGATACCTTATGACTTACATATATTAATTGCTAAAAGCTCTCCAACTCCAAGGATAATAGGACCAATGTTTTACTAACCAAGTTAAGTGGCTTCTAACCCTGATGGTGCACTGAGAAAAATGTTTCCAACCAAATGGCACCAACATATTCAGTATCCATGCCCACAGCCACACTTCAACAATTATTCTTTCTCTCTTGGGAAAGAGCAAGGAGAAAATTTGCAGAAAGTGAGAGCCGGGAATGTCAGAAGAAGAGGAAGAGATGAAGCTTAATTTAGTCTGTGCTTATGCAGTACCAGTAAATAAAAATATATACCAGAAAAACCAATACTACAATAAATCAGGATGATAATTTCTTAATACAATATAATAACCAATAGAAACATTTCCTAATATTAACCCAATTTTAATACACATCTGTGGTGAATAATGAGAGAAAAGATTTGTCTGGGTTCAGAACGTTCCTACAAAAGGCTTTATAAGAGTCTCCAGACACAGAGAGGGGGTTGATTCTACAAAAACTAATAGATCTTGGTTGCATTATCAAGCTGAGTATACAAGAACATGAACTGTAATCAAGTTATTCTAATAACTGGGTGTTCCTATATGTATAATTAGAAGGTCAGCCATTTAACAGCAATTTAAACTGATTAACTGTCCCAAAGTCAATCCCTAATGTAGGGACTGATAAAAAGAAGACCTAGGGATACATTAGGAGAGATCTAGAACCATACCAACTGCAACTTCTGGACACAGAGAAGGAGGAGGAAAGAAAAATTAGGAAGGCCTGCTAAACTACTGCAGCTATCTAGGTGGGACATCACCAAGGTGGGGACTAACTGCTTAGCTGTTTCCAAACTGAGAAATGAACATATTCTCTAAGTATTTAGCAGGCAAAAAAATTCCAGTTATTGTAGATTTATTGATGAAAGGTTTTAAAATAAGTTTCTCATAAGCAAAAATCCCAAAATTATAGACCATACAAAATACCTACAACTGATAGCCCTGAAGAGCAAAGAAATAAAGGAAAGTAAAAAAGAGAAAGAGAATAAGGATGAAAAAACTCTAAGCTCAGTCTTTTCCAGGCTTAACTTAAAGTGGTAAGAATTCATCCAAGTAAGTTAGATATTTAAAAGAGTGAATGCTGCATCATCCGAGAACAAGGCAGAATAAGCCTGAATATCAACATAGATCTGAAAATCAAAGAACCCAACAGTAGTGTGTACAAGTAAAGAAGAGTGGATCTAAGATCAGATTCTGAACAACCACCTACCAAATAACCAGAAGAGCTGACAATAGAGACCCTTCCACTTGACTGAAAATGTGTGATGATAAATACAGATTAAAACCAATGAGAAACTTTATCATTGATATCTAATGAACTCAGACAAAAATTGAATTTTATGATCAAGTGTCAAATGCTGTAGACAAATTTAGCAGCAGTTACAGTATTTGTCTTAGCCACAAGTAAAACTATTGGCCTTGTGCAAGGCCATGAAAACTTGGCTTTTCCCCTAGGCATTGGGGATGGGAAGTTAGCATGGGAGCTCTAGAATGGTTTATCTAATGGTTTCATGTTTTTATTGAGCCCCAGTGTAGTTTTAGTTGATTTTTTTCTTTTAATAAATGTCTCATTTTTCGTGTTCTTCACTACCTGGAGTTTCTCAGATAGATGGGCAGCCAAAAACTTGCATAAATAAACAAAGAAACAAACATGGACAACCAGAGTCAATGTAAACTCAATAAAATTACCCATACAAAATATGCCAATAAAATTATTTGCTGACAAATACAGAAACAAACAACAACAAAAGATACTAGATCATAACTAGAACAAACCAAAGTAATCAAAGAAGTTTATTTGGTTGCTTTTTTAGATGGGTATGAAGATAAGCATGTGTCAGAAAAACTGGAAAATACCTGTCATAAAAGGATAATCAATCAATCTGGTCAAGTACATCAGAAAAGGAAGAACAGATGCATAGAAGATAGGATAGAAAGAATCTGAAGGACACAATGATTCTGAAAGTAGTTTAATTACCACTTCTTTAGTAACAAGAGGAGGGGGGCTCAGATTATTGGGAATGGTACACAAATCTTCCATAGAAAAACAAGTTTTGAACATATCAGTTTTGGTCAAAAAGGAGAAGGTGTCATCAGAATGCTGATGACGCTACCCTGATAGCTGAAAATCCAAATGATCTGCAAGCTCTAGTAAGGAAGGTCAAGGAGCACCATGAAAATATGGGGTTAAGATTAAATACTAAAAAAAAAACCAAAATAATGACAACAGGCATAGCAACCTTAGAATTGACAATGAAGATATTGAAATGATGGATAGCTTCTCTCTTTTGGTATTGATTGTCAACAGTACAGGAACTGGCAATCAAGAAATATGCTGCAGATTAACATTTGGTAGTGTAGCAGTGAAGGCCTTGAAAAAGATATTCAGATGCTGTGATCTGTCTGTACCTACACAGATCAGAATCATGCAGGGAATGGTTTTCCCTGTGAACTCTATGGAAGTGCAAATTGGAAGAATGTTGAAGTTTTTGAATGTTGGTGTTAAGAGAAGATTCCTGAGAATACCATGGATAGACAAGAAAACAAACAAATGGATCATAGAACAAATCAATCCAGAGTTTTCAGTCGAGATACAAATGACCAGGCTCAAATGACTGTATTTTGGACACATTATATAAAGTCCTAGTTCTTTTAAGAGACCTATAATGCTGGTGGAAGAAAAGAGAAAAAGAGGACGACCAGCAGCAAAGTGGATGGACTCAATTATAGCAGCAATGGGTACACTGCTGAAAGACCTGAAGTACCAGATTGAAAACAGGTCATCCTGGAGAAAATCTATCTATGTGGTTGCTAAGAGTTGACAGCAAATTGAAAGCACATAATCATAATCATAAATCATCACTTAGTTGAAAAAAGTGCAAATGGGGTACTTAAGAAGCATGTTTGGTAAAATGAGAAGAAATAGAGTCAAGAATGAATGAATTCTCAGTGAAAATGGTTTGTATGAGTGACCAGCAAAAAAGCAATATACTGAGGTAGTTTGATCACATAGAAAGAATGAAGGACAAATTACAAAACAAAAACAAAAGAATGCATC